CACTAAAGATTGGTAGATCGGTGATTCGCGCCATCCAACAATAGAAGATATATGTGTTTGAAAAATTGGCGGTCGTTATCTAAGCAATGTAAAGACTTTCAAGAGTAATCAACGGCAAAAATTGTCACGAGAACGGTTGAGTGTTCCACCTTCATAAGTTACTGATTTTATCAGCAAAGATCCAAAGAGCGTCATTACCTTCGTTGGACCTTAAATGAAACACAATAGTGAAAAATGTTTTTGATGCCAGTATCAAAGCCCAAGGTAATTTTTGAAATCTGTACTGCGAAAGCCAAATCATATCCCGGATAGAGCATTTTCTTGCATGGACAAGCTTAGGATGCAGTGGTCATATACGGAGGCTGCATTGCCAGACTGAAGACATATAGGGAATTTAAAAATAATGAAGCTTGATGCGCTCACGGAGGCACAAAACCCCAAACAAAGGCATCACTTGATGCTCAGGGAAGCGTGTTCAAGTCGAAATGGCCTTTCTACATGGAACCCTTATCACATTGTAGAGTATTGAACGCTGATTCCAAATCTTTTCTTTCCTATCTGCCAAACGCCTCTATATGCCGAGTTATGATTGTTTTTTGAGCGAGAAAATGAACGCAAAATCTAAGTATTGTAAGAACAATAGTTGCGATCTTTTCTACGCTTAAATAAACCAGTGTTAACTATGACGGTATTGGAAGAAGGTGTCAATCGATTGAAGTGCTCTGATAATCAAACTTGACCATCTAAGCAATTGACGGGTTTGTTTCAATTGCTCTTTCGATTTTTCGACCAAAAAAATGCTCATAACTCGGCTTCAGAGGCTTTTGGCCGAAAGAAAGAATTGGAATCGGCGTTCAATGCTCTGAAAGCTGACATGGAATTTATTTAAAAAGGTAACTTCGACTAAATACGCTTCCCTTGTCAGCTCCAGTCCCTTCCGATTGCTGACCATATGTAAGAAAAAATCATTAAAATAAAAAAGGAAACTAAAAATTGCTGTTCGAAATGCGCATCCAACGCGTGGCCTCGAAGTCGGA